ATGTGCCACCACACCCAGCTAATTTTGTATTTGTAGTAGAGACGGGGGTTTCACCATGTTGGTCAGGCTGGTCTCGAACTCCTGACCTCGTGACCCACCCGCCTTGGCCTCCCAAAGTACTGGGATTACAGGCATGAGCCACCACGCCCGGCCTTCTTTTCTTTTTCAGACAGGGTCTCACTTTACCCAGGCTGATATATACAATGGTGCAATCTTGGCTCACTGCAGCCTCGAACCCCTGGGCTCATACAAATCCTCCTGCCTCAGTCCCCCAAGTAGGTGGGACTACAGGTGCATGCCACCACACCTGGCTAATTTTTGTATGTTTTGTAGAGATGGTTTTTGGCCATGTTGTGCAGGCTGGTCTCAAACTCCTAAGCTCAAGCAGTCTGCCTGCCTCAGCCTCCCCAAACTGCTGGGATTACAGGCATGAACCACCACACCCAGCCCTTTTTCTTTGGCCTCAATTTTTATCTGTCTTGTTTCTTGCAGGGTCATGATAAAAGGAAGGAATCTTTCAGAATTTCTGCCTCTTTAAATTCCTGGCCCTTGCTATAGTAGCATGTCATGGTATTATCAGTGTTTAAGAATGGTTTTGAAGATCGGTATTGATATAACTGTCTATACCAATACAACAGAATATGCGTTAAACCCCTGGCATATTGCCACTAACATCCCAAACACAAATGAAATTCTGTTGCAAATTCTCAGCCTGTTTGCACTTTGTAAGAGTAATGGTCATGGTATTTCAGAGAATCCATAAGTTGTTAGTGTTTTTTGCTCATCCATCATCTCATAACCAGTTATGACTAAGTTACCCACACCTTTGGTGCAAGCATCAGAACTGTTGTATTTGATGCACCTCCACTAATTAAGAGAAACTCAAAGGTGCTGGGTTGGCCGTTTAACTTTCAGGTGATGCAGCTATTGGCATTTATGTGCACATTCATTTCAGCAAAGTTAGCATGTGACTTCTCTGCTATTTATCGATTTTATGTTTATCAAATATTCTCTTTTATTTATTTTTAGGGTTATCATCGACCCAATCATTACATTGCTACCCAAGGTAAGTTTATTTCTACTTTCTTGTCTTTCTTTGTTTCTTTTGCCTGCCTCCTATCATTTTGTACCCACTTCACCCTCCTTCAGGAAGATATTGCACATTTATTACGGTTCTAGCCATCAACAGGTACTCTCTTGTCTTCCCATCAGACATTCTGGTCATGTAAATCGTTTAGTTAGAACTTCATGTTGAGATCATTAGGAGAAATGTGTCCATCAATTCTTTATTGAATTCAATCTGTCCACCTTAGGAGTAAGTCGGACATTTGCAAAAGTAGATATATAGATAGCCATTCCATCAATATACACCAGCTGCTCTCTACACAGGGAACTGTGCTGGTTGCTGCTGGGGAGCCAGGCTGAACCCAGCAAGCACCCCCTTCTCACAGTGGTTTTGTTTAGTGGGGAAGCTGTGCAGTCACCTGTATGTACTTTAGTAGGTACAGTGCCAGGTGACGTCTGTGAGAGGAACAGATACAGATAAAACATTAGGGACATTTGGAGCAGGAAGGGGTTGCTTTCAGGTGGGATGACTCAAAAACCATTTTGTGGCAGAGGTGAGATTGGGAACAGGCCTTCTGAATGGAGAAACATCATGAGCAAAGATCTGGGAGCAGGAGTTTAGTTCTCCCAGGTGGAAAGCAGCTGGTGGGTCACATTGGCTAAAGAAAACAGAGGAAAGCTAGAGGACATGTTGAGGAAGCTAATGGCAATGGTTTTTGAGTGATTTTCCCAACCTATGAAGTGGGTCACCTGCAGAGGGTGGGTGTCATGAGAGAGCTGAGGTTTTAGAGAATGAGGCATCGTAAGGGATGAGTCAGTGAGTCAATATGGGATGGACTGAAGAAGGAGTAAGAAGCAGAGAAGACCCAGTTAAGGCTGAACAGCACACGTTCTCCCCATTTTATTATTTTATCATTGTTTCCAGCAATACTACATCCCAGAAACAGTAGCAGGGAAGTGAAAAGGATGTGACCTGCCAAAGGTTATGCGTGGGGGAGGGGTCTACACAGAAAGTCAGTGACCAAGGGAATCAAGGATGCCAAGGTAATTGGGTTGGAAAGTCCAGGCTTGGAAGAAGGGCAATCAGAGGTGTCCACTGGACCATGATGAGAGGGAAGGAACTAACGGATTGAGGCTAAGTCCCATTGATGAGTCATAGGTTAGGAGAAGAAGCCGTTGTAGCCAGAGAGCAGAATTCCAACACTTGGATCTGCACCGTGCAGTAGAACTTTCTGCAGTGCTGGGAATGTTCTCTGTCTGTGCTGTCCGATATCGCAGCTACAAGTCACATATGGCTCCTGCATGCTTGAAATACAGCTACTACAAATGAGGAACTGCATTTTGAATTTTAATATTGATAGAAATAGCTACACTTGGTTATTCCCTGTGGTAGCATTGGACAGCAAGGCTTTGGGGTGGAAAAGCTCCAGCTATAGCTGAAATGGAACCACTGTGGAAGCTGATCCTGCCCCATGCCCCTTGAACCTGGGTGACACCACACAGAGTCCACAGTCTCACATCACCACTAGGTTACTCTGCACTCAGGTCTAGATGACCTGCTGGAGCTCCCACTCTCCTTCATCGTCTATGACATGAAGTTGGTAATGGCTCCTTCCAAGGTCACTTTGCTAGCCAGACGCAAAGTCGTCTGTAGAGTTTTCAGTGTGAACCTGGCACAGAGCAGGTCCTACTACATAGAGATTGCTGAGGTCTTCAGGAAGCAAGGCTCAGCTTGAGCTCTTACCTATGGGATAGAACAAGGACACATGTAAGAGTTCAGTCCTAGACACCTCCTAACCCCGCTGCTTCCAAACGGAATTCATCAATGCCTTTAGAGGAACCTGTTGTTATGGGTTTGAAATTCATTCTAATCGCTTTCAGAATGTTCTAAAGTAAGCATCACAACATCAGATTTAGTACATTTTATGATAATTTGACATTAACAGTTTTTGTAAATTCATGTGAAAATTTCATTGTAAAATATCCAAAATACTCCCAAGCTTCTTATCTCTCCAATAACTTGATTAGCAACCTGTGTTTTCATAGATAGCAAGAACATTAAGTTGCTCTTATTTGTATTTTCAATATTGAGGCCCTCTAGATTAATGTGACTAAACAGCTGAAGCAAAGACTGAACTGCCAAGGTCTAGACATGGCCCATTACCAGGCTTCCTTCCTTTTGTCCATTGTCTCTGCCCCTCTCCCCCTGTAGGAGATTATTCTTTAAAGAGAAATGTCACTAGAGAAGGTCACTTTCTGCAGAATTAGCATGAATGATACTTAATAGCTCAGTAACCCTCTCTGGCAGCATTCACGTGTTAATGAGCAAATGTATTTGTAAGTGGATAAGAAAGAGCAAATGTGATCAGTTCGCAGTAGACAACTAGTCTGCCCTTAATGGAGAAGGGCACTGACTAATGCCCTGTTTACCAGGTCGTGGCAGCCTTTCCCTGGTACAAGGTGGGGTGCAGACTGGACTTCTCAAACTGGCAGTACTAACGTCACTGCTGGTGGTGGTGCAGGGAGAGGAGGGAAAATGAATGAATATTTTTAATCTAACATGCAGTCAAGACTATACATATCATACTAAGAATAATAACATTCAGACCATGATGTTCAGATGAGAAAGCGAGAATCTTCTTTCTATTATATACCACAAGCATAATGGACTAATAGCCTTAGATTACCAGTAATCAAGATCACTGATGATAATCAGCACTAATTGGCATGGACAGGTAGAATATGTTCGTAGATCACCTTTGTTGAAAAACAAACAAACAAACAAAAAACATTAATACCTCCAAGAGGCCAACAAAATGGGCGATGAAGACCAACAGGCAGATGCAATCTTTAAATGTCTTCTTGCTCTATTTTTCCTCTCTTTGCACTAACATAATTCTTTAAAATATATTTACAGCAGGAACCTATGAAACTATACAAATGGTCCAATTTGCTGACAACCATTTTTACTTCTAAAAGTTAGTAATGCACAGATATTCATCAAGTTCCTTCAATACAGAGGACATATTATAAATTTATGTATTGAGTCTCCTCCTTCCCATCCACCCTCAGTTTTATTGATTTTTCTAACAGTAACTGACTTTGACCTTTGATAATAATGGGTGACGTTCCTGCAAATTGAAAGCATCCCATTCAAGCCAGATCTATTGCTTTTTTTAGCATTAATATGTTCTTCCTATCTCCCCTTGGTTTAAATGTTTTCTGTCTGGCCACTAATATATGATGACCCAATATTAACTTCATCATGTCTGACTGACCAGACATTAGTACAACAGTAGCATTCAAGATTTGTGATTTAGCAAACCAGGGGCTCAAAGAAGAGGAAGTCGTGTCTGCTACCGCATGTCTGTACGTAGAGGCAGGGCAGAGTGGAGATTTCAAAAGCAGGCTCAAGCAAAGGGCAGAAGAGCATGCAGTGGGTAGGATTGCCCAGAAGTTATCATATTTCACAAGCAAAATACAACCTTGGAGACTATGTGGCCTGCAAGCTGGATGAAGCCACACACGTAAGAACCGACTAGAGAGAGCACCTACTGGCCTCATGGTGGCAGCCATGGGGCCCCTGAATAAGTGTTCTTTTGATTTTTGTTTGACTTTATCTAGAGACATGATCTCACTCTGTCACCCAGACTGGAGTGCAGTAGTGGGATCATAGCTCACTGAAGCATCGAACTCCTGGGCTCACGTAATTCTCCCACCTCAGCCTCCAAAGCAGCTAGGACCACAGTTGCACACCAAGCCTGGCTTATATATTTTATTTTATTGTTTGTAGATTTAGGGTCTCCCTGTGTCGCCCAGGCTGATCTCAAACTCCTGGACTCGTAGGATCCTCCCACCATGGCCTCCCAAAGCACTGGGATCACGGGCATGAGCCATTGCGCTCAGCTTTGTTTAGTTTTAATTTTAAAACTTACCTCAAGAGTCAGATAACTCAGGGAAAGACCATGCAAGGCTGTTACTGAAGAAAATGCTATGAGTCTGTTCTAGACATAGCTTGCGCAGCCCTGAGCATCCTTCCTCACTTCTAAGTGAGCATTTTCCAGACTCATCTGTGCACTGGGATGCCCCAAGAAAGAGACTCAGGCCTGATGTGCTCTTTCCCGTGTACTGCATGCTCACCCCCCACAACCACATGGTTAATCCAGATCCAGCCCCTGCTTTCTAAGTTATGATGCTTCTCGTGACAACACAATAAAAAGCAAATGTTCAATGATACAGTCATGTCTGAAAATACATGTTATTATTGTCTTCGATGTTGTAACCTGAGCTGTATAGATTGTTGAGATGCACACGTTACTCTTTTAAGTTTAGGTGCCTCGATGCCCACTTCATCATTTCTTTCTTTCTGAATTGTGCTAATTTGACAAGGTTGGCTGCCTGATTGGGGTTCCGACCTTAGCCTTCATCTTGCCATATATAGTTTGTTTTTGTCTCTGTCAGTGTTAGCTCTGTACAGCACCCTTGTGGAGTCCAGGCCTAGAGAGAGGATCTCCCAACAGAAGCCCCCATGCCCACATGAGAACAGGGAGACCCTTGTGCCCCCAACTGTGTTTTCCACAGGATTTGTGCACTCTGGCCCAAATGTCCCTCACCTTTGGGAGACACAGAACTTCTTTCAGAACTAATGAAATATGAAGATCATTTCCCCAGAAAGAAAATTTTATTTAAGGTAGTTCATGGACTACCCCCACCCCCCAATTTTATTTATGAATTATAGTAATTCTGTGGACCTCAGGTTATGAACTTTACTTTGGTCAGAAACATTAAAAGCTATTTTGGGATAAGACAGAAACCATAGACTTTATTAATCTTCTTTTTCTAGTATACTTTAAGTTCTGGGGTACATGTGCAGAACATGCAGTTCTACTTTTTTAAAAAACCGTACGTAGGGGTTAACAAAATGTCGTAGATTGTTTATAACTATGTGAAATACATTCCTGAAAGCATCAAAATTTTTACTAACTCTAACAAACTATTACT